TTTCCCCCCAATGGAAGTTGTGGTTCTCTCATGATTCTGAAGAAAAAAAACATTAGACAACTAAACAAAATCACATGTAATTTATTAATGAATGATTGAATGACTCACTCAAGATGTACTTGTTTCATTACTGGATGAATCCGCGTTCTTGAACGAATCTCTTGTATGATTCAAAGACAAATACATTTTAACAGCCCCTTTTCGCAACCTACTGGTGTAACAATGTAATCGATAAATCTTCATTTGAAGAGTCAAATTACTTTCAAAAGGTGATTTACTCCATTTTAAATCGCTACCATACACATCGTACACAGTTTATATCTGAACTATAAACTATATCTGAACTATTTATCCCAGTACTTCTGTGATTTGAATGTTTGTAACACAGAAATAATGATACTGTGTGGCTGAAAAGACTGTGAAGCCTTTTCATTCATGACAGACAGCTGCTCTCTTTAGGTCAATGGCAGTGCGAACGCAAATTTAAATGTTCAAATCACACTGGTGTGATCGTACTCTGCCCGGACGAACCAAGTGATCACAACATTGATCTCAAATGTCAAAGGTTGAGGAATGAAACAGACAAATCATTGTAATTTAGGAATGGAATCACATTGGTGTTTGAATCGTGTTCGTGATCTTTAACAATCTATTAAATTAAAGTGCTTTGTCATGTTGGTGGTGACATCTCTCTTGCAACATGTTTAGCTATCAGAGATATTATGCTTAGCTTTTTTAGCTTCTGATCACAAATGTAGCAAAACTTTGGACTGCTGAGATTAGCGAGCAAGGTCCTGGCAGATCGCTAGGTCGGGTCCTATCACAGATGATAGGCGGAATCGAAAATTTTTATTTGACAAGTATCCGATTCCTGACCTTAAGTATCCAATTCTGGAATTGGAATTGATTTTAGATTCCCAACCCTAATGAGGAGGAGAAGAATTGTTGAATAAAGTTGTTATTTTTGTATTCTTTGCGCACAAAAAGTATTCTCGTAGATTCATAAAATTATGTCACATGGACTATTTTATCGATGTCCTTGCTATGTTTCTGGACCTTGATCGTGTTAGGATTCTTGCTGTCTATGGAGGGTCTGAGAGCTCTCAGATTTGATCAAAAATATCTTAATTTGTGTTCCGAAGATGTCTTACAGGTTTGGAACGACATGAGGGAGAGTAATTAAGTAAGTGCATGAAAAATGTGACATTGTTTAATACAGTAAGTTTCCAACAAGCCTTTAATTTAATCATCTACAAAAGTCTTTAGTAGGGGTGCTCCGATCAGGATTTTTGAGGCCGATCACCGATTGGCGATCACAGAAAGCAGTATCTGCCGATACGATCACCGATACCGATCTTTTTAAAGCCTTCTTTTTATCATGTAGAATTATTTAAGTGATGATCCTATCAAGATTTTTAGACATTTATTCAGGGCCTGAATTTCATTTTTGAAAATGAATTCCCCTCTTAGGTGACTCTTGTGAGGGGATTTTTTAATTTGAGGGGTGGACGGGGGCATTTTTTTGTCATTTAAAAAAAATATATTTATCTCACCTAAATGTTTGATCATGCAGTGCATTTTTGTTATAATCACCGCTTATTGACAATAGGGGTGTGACAATACACTTAGCTCACGAGATGACAAAATACAGATACTTGGTTCACTAGAACGTGACAATATTTTAATACTATTTTAAAGAAATTTTCAATGACAAAATATTTGTCTTTTAATTACAAAAAGTAAAACAATGCAGTTGTATTTAGAAATATTTTAACTAATCTTAAATATTTGTCTTTTAATTACAAAAAGTAAAACAATGCAGTTGTATTTAGAAATATTTTAACTAATCTAGGGCTGTAACTAATGATTATTTTGACAACCGAGTAATCTGATATTTTTTAGTAACAAACAGACCTAAGTGAAAACCAGGCTTTAGTATGACTATTTATATATAAACTAACGATGAGGCAATAATAACTGGCTCAAATAAAATATCAAAACCAAGAAATTACATGGTTGTATTGAACAATCATTATTATTATGTATTGAACAACACCGTTAAAATACATAATGTAATATGCCTATACATAATATGAACATAACCAACTTAAGTACATTATGTATTAAAACAAATACCTGCAGAGGGCGCCAAAGGCCTGGTGACTTTTCACTTTACAGCGTGATTAAACTTTCCATTAAATCCATTACAGGGCTGTTTCGAATTTCGAATATTCGTCGAATTTAAAATAAAAATCCACAATTTTAGGTGCGCGCCAGGCAGCCTTATCAGTGGTGCACGAAATGCGACGACGATGTGTCATTGCATTTGAATGCTTTTGTTAGCCTATCCAGTTGAACCCACTAGATGCGGCGCTGCTATGTTGTTCCAAAATATTGTGGAAAAAGAGAACATCAATGCGGAGATGATGTTGATTACGTCAAAACCAAAACCAAGCCGTTCACACTGAACGCATATTTATCACATTTTCTAGAGGGACATCTATTACCGTTGCACTTGCGTCTCGCACAAGAGAGCCGCATGTTTAGAAAGCTATGTAAAATAAAAAATTATGGCGGTTTTTCCCCATCCTATGCATCTCAAGTTTTTAAATGAAGAAAGTACTTTGTGATTGGTTTTCGGTCCTTTGTATTGAACTATACATACATGCATGATGCCGTTTTGTTTCTAATTGTTTAAGCAACTTTCATTATATAAGGTTTATAAACATTATTTTAAACATTATGCACTTTTTTCAAAGATAGTCATGTTATTTTATTATGCTTTGAAGAAACGTGCATAATATTTTGCTCGATGCGCCCTTGTGGCCTCAGGAGAAAAGCCAAAAGCTTTTTTCCCCCTAACTGAAATTATGCCTTTTAAATTCGAATATCAGGGCTGCGACTCTGCAATTGGATAGACTACTATTTTGAGCGTATTATGCACACAATTTTTTTCCGCAGCCAAACGCTGCACGCCGGAGATCCAGCACGGTGCCGGAGAACTTTAAGCCCTGAGCACAATAGCTTACACACAGCACAAGCCTGATTTTGTGAGCTGTATGTGAGGTGGCCTTTTACGCAAGGTTCACACATACTCCGTTTGCAATGCAGTCCATGTGTGGTAAGCGGTGCAGAAGCAGCAGGTGCTCACTGTGCTTTCACACAGGAGTCTGAAACTGATCCGTGGCTGTTTACTACAAACACAACATTTATCCATTATTTTGATTTCAAATCCAAACATTGTTACTGAAAATGCTTTTTCAGCACTGTGATTCTTTTTTTACACAGTACAGTAATACAATCTTTCATAGACGTGTTTAAACGCAATAAATATAAGAAACACATTATTCAATGATTTTTACTTTTGCATTTACTTCTAGATTGATATATTAAGTTGCTCAAGCAAGTGGCAAAACATTTAAACTACTTTTCTTACATTATCACAAACATTCTAAATTAAAACTTACCATTGACAGAAACAGTCAGCTCTACTGCCTTTTCTTTTGCATTTAAATCTTTATTACAAGCAATCCTGTGGTTCATAAAGAACTTTGTTTTCCTACCGCCACGAGTGCCATCAATTATTGCCTACATTTTCGTTTTCATATTTACCGCAAACAATGCGCTGTCACTTTAATTCAGCGCATGCAACGGAAACGATCTCTGCACTGCTGCAGATGCACCGCTCCTTGAACGCACTGCCGGACCGCAACCGTGTACAGTGTGAACGCTTTAATCCGTTAACATGAGCGCAGAAAAAATATCCACCGCATGCGCACTGCAAACGGAGTAATGTGAACCTGGCATTATGTGTGTGCGCTGCGAGTGTGCATGAGCGCACAGTCTCCAGAAGAACGCGTGAGTGCCGAATGGTTTAAACACTGGCAAGAATTAAAAAGAAATGCAATTTATAAACTTTAATGACGATGCGACACTGCTGCGATTGTGCAAGTGACAATTCCTGTGTCAACTGTGCAGTGTGCAGCTCGCTTAAAGTGCAGACGACTTAGTGACAGTAAAGTTGTGACAGGCCAGTTTACACTGACAGGGTGTGTGTAACTATGCGACAGAGTGGTCTGTTAAAGATGCAATTGCATGACGTGATAGTATGTCCCAAATTTGCCTACTCTTCTACTACACACTCAAGTGTGTACTTTATCCTCACCTAAAGAGTACATAATTTAAGTAGGCACACTGGGATGCAGCATGAGACACTTACCATGAGTAGATTGCAAAACAGGGCCTGAAACTCTTATTTTAAACGTTTTCAAGTTACGATTTTATTAAATAATAATTAACAACAAAAAATTTTGTAATCTTTTTAATAACAAAAGTATTTAAAATAAGCCCTGTATTTAAAATTTCATGCCCTGCTGTTTAATAATAATAGTAATAATAATAATAAGCTTTTAAAATTTTCAGCCCCTATTATTGTTGTTAATATCGATGTAAACTAAATACAGAAAAGGTCAAAGTTTATGCAAGTATCAATTACATCATTAGTACAACCAATAATTAAACATAATAAGCATTAAAAAAATAAAAAATAAAAATAAAAAAACCTTTGTCTTTCTCTATTTATTCCTTCCCTTTCTAGCTTCTACTTATTTGAACAATGCCTAGAACTTGGTATTACAAGCACTTCCGTTGTCTGTTTGCCACTTTAAGAAGAATCGCTTTATGCATTCCCCAATTGTAAGTCGCTTTGGATAAAAGCGTCTGCAAAATGACTAAATGTAAATGTAATGTAAATGCATTACCTTTTGTTCTTTGGTACTTCCCTTGACCGATAGTTGTCATGGGATATGGGTACATTTGAGGTGCCTAATAAAAGGAGAGAGGAAAATCCAATTTGCTAACCACTCTATAAAACTCTTGAATTTTGTCTAAAGTTATGAGCAGCAGGGATAGAGACCTGTACAGAGTGGCCCTGTATCTGTATGGGTGAGACATAGCTCAGGTACTGAGTGTTGTAAATGGCCCCCTGGCCTGGCGGGGCCTGCAACACCACCGTGGGGCTGGGTGGAGTTGGCCGTGGCGGGGTGGGAGTGGCTGAGGGCTTCACCTGCAAAGAAGACATGACACCTTGGCTTAGCACATTTAACGATTTAACAGCTATATAGAAAAAAACTTAATGGGGAAAAAACAGTGCTCTTACCATGCTGAGAGGAGCCTTGGTGGGGTTAAACTCTTTGGCGTTGGGGTTGAGTGTAGATTTCTTCACTTGACTGCGTCGGAAAACATTATGAATTGCATTAATTACCAACAGACTTAATATGCTACATACTAGTAGCTGTCAGTTGTCTTATTTACGAACTAATGTTCTACTCACTCAGCCATGCCCTCTGGTCTCTCAGAAGCCTCGGGTTTGCCCTCCTCACTGCCTGGGGTCCTTGCAGGTTGGGGCGTCCCTGATGTTTGCCCTTCCGCAGTTGGATTTTGCATTGCAGGGCCAGACAGGGCAGAGGGTGCAGAGATGGGTGTGGATGGTGGAGGGGTGGTGGTCGCCACCCCCTCAGCATTTGTCTCTCTACTTCTCTCCTCTGCTGGAAGCTCTGTGGTCTGAGTTGAGGGCGGGGCTGTTTTAGCTTCTGTTAGAGGGGCAGGGTCTGTTTGTGTATTGTGGGCGGGGTTTGCTTGAGCAGAGTCAGTGGTCGAAGTTTTGGAGCTGGAAAGGGTGGAGCTAGGTGGAAGCTAAAATCAGAAAGAGGGGGGGAAAAAAAGCATTTAAACTATAGTTTATACTGTATTTAACTATATTAATACTATAAACATTTTTTTAAAGACTTGTTTATATTGTTATATGCCATGAAAAAAACCAAACAGTCTGTATTTAAAAATATGCAACGACTTAACGACTTTAGTGAGGGAAAGAACTACATTCTCATGAATGACAACCGAATTAAAAACAATGGTAAAAATATAAAACATTCATTTTAAGTTGTTGATTGTTGATATCTATAGAAATAATATTGAGTAGGGCTGTCAAATCGATTAATCGCATCCAAAATAAAAGTTTGTGTAAGCATAACGTGTGTGTACGGTGTGTATTTATATAAACACATACATATACACATTATATATAAAAATATATTACATGTATCTCTTAAATATATACATGTACAGTATGTGTATTTATATATACATATAAATATACTAGACATGTGCCCATATTCGGTAATGCGATATATCACGATAATGAATATACACGATATTGTTATCGTGGGCACGTCAAAATACAGAGAATAATTATTTATTACAAATGATTTAGAACTTTGAATGCATTTTAAGAATACTTTTCCAATCAACTGGTCACAATGCACAACACCGCTGTATGCTGTGTCAAAGAGCATGTGCTGATGTAAACAAGCTCGAATGAGAAGCGCAATGGCGGAACGAGTGAGAATGAAAGCCACATTCACTCTCTGACAGCAGATGGCGCTGAACAGCAGAAATGCAGCCATTACCCCGGAAACCCCATAAACAAAGCAGCTCTACTTTTGGTTTCTGAAAGGTATTTAAATAATTTAAACAGCCATTCAGATTTTTGTATTCGCTATGGTGTTCATCACAGCGCCAAATGCTTAAATATTCAGACTTAATAGGTTATTTATTTTCAAACTTTTTTACATTTTAATCTGGACTACAAAATAGATATTGTTTGGCAATGTAGATATTGTTTGGCAATGTTTTGATTCTTTATTGTTCAGTCACACTTTACATTAGGGCTGCATTATTTAACATTAGTTAATTCATTAGTTAAACTGCCAATGAAAAATTCTTCTAAGCATTCATTAATCTTAGGTAATTCCAGTATTTAATAACATGTTGTTAAAATCAAAAGTTGCAAGTTGCAACTGTATTATTTAATGAACTATCATGAACTAAGGTTGTATTTTTTAACAACGATTAATAACATCTGTAGCAAATGTAGTTATTGCTCATTGTGAATGTTAATGCATTAACTAAGTTTAACTAATGAGATCTTATTGTAAAGTGATACCTATTTGTCTTTATAATTCTTTTGCATTTTAATCTGTGTAAAATGTGTAACTTTATACATTTTTTGTGTATTGCTTTATTGTATTTAAATGTTCAGTTATTTTTGTTATAAGAAAGAAGTTATTAAACCTGGCTGTTATACTGTATTATGACAACACTTTTTTTGCAAGTAAGGTTCAATATCGTGATAATACCGTGATAAAAGCATTAGCAATTAATCGCAACATGAAAATTTGATACCAGCATTTCCCTAAAATATACACGGTAGACACATTTTGCAAACACAAACTTTTATTTTGGATGCGATCAATCAATTTGATGTCCCTAATTTTGAGTTTTTTTGCAAGATATGTGCATATATACATATCACAGCCCTCTGACTGGTGGAATTTTCTACATTGGCAATGTCGTTTTCACCAGAAATTCTGCTGTTAAACAATTATTTAAAAAATACGTTTACATAAATAACCCAACTGTTGCACCGTATGGTGTTCTGGGTTGTTTCCAGTGCATTACTAGGTGCTTGGCAGGCCATTGCTAGGGTGTTAGGAGTGATTGTTAGGGCATTACTAGTGGTTGCTTACTGGCTCAACGAGTCAAATGAGATCAACCACTTCCAAAAATCTATTCTGGCTTAATAAAAAAAAAAATAAAAAAAAAAGAGACTATGACGCTTACCCTAAAAGCATTACCAAACTTGCGAAGCTCCTCGAGGTTTGATCTCGGCTGGACTGAAGAGATTATGAAAAAAGAGAAGAACATTTTTAGCTAAATGAAAAGCACATATAGTGAAATTACTGAAAGAGTAATACAACTTCAGGATTACCTTTGCTGCTCTTGCCCTCCTGAGGACTAGCTGGACTCTCCATCCTTTCCTTTGACAGGATTTCATTCACTAAAGTGTAAGGAAGAGAGTCAAGATAGTTGGACGCATTTACAATTAACAGTGTGTAACCACTCAAATTTGTAACAACATCTCACCATCTACAGGGAACAGAGGGGTGGGGCCAGTGGGTTTGGAGGTCACCATAGTAACTGAAGAGGTATCCAAGTAGGTAGGATTAGCCAGAGGAGGGTCCTGGGAAGGAGCATCTGGTTTAGGGGACCGAGAGACTGGGGAGAGAGAAAGGTAATCATGTTAATTTAAGAAAAAAAAGGGAATAGAGGTTGGAAATACACTGTATCCTTTCAATCATTTTTAATTCATGAAGGATGCATTTAACTGATCAAGAGGTGACAGACAACTATAATGTTACAAAAGACTTCTATTTCAAATAACTATTATCTTGAACTTTATATTCAAGGGAACCTTAAAAAAGTATCACAGTTTTCACAAAAATATTAAGCAGCACAACTGTTTTTAACATCAATAATAATAATAATATCAAGAAGAAGAAGAAGACGAAGACGAAGAAGAAAACAACAACAACGGTTTCTTGATCACCAAATCATCATATTGGAATGAATTCTGAATGATCATCTAGACTGGAGTAATGGTAAATTACATCTTAAAATACAAAACAGTTATTTTAAACTACTAATTTTACAATATTACAGTTTTTACTGTATGTTTGATCAAATGCAACCTTCTTACAGATCTCAAACTTTTTAAAAGTACAGTATAACATTAAAAAAAGACCTGTGACAAATGGATTGTCTAACAAATAATCTTAATATTACAATATTAATATTATATAATAACTGAAATGAGCATAATTCAATTAAAAGGGAATAAAATCACTGCTGAACTATGAACAAACACTTGAAGATCTTACTAAATTGCATATAGCAAGTAATACAATAAAAAGGTGTTCATTACTAACCCACTGTAAAATATACAGTGTACAACAACGGACAAGATTAAAGGCTGGAGATGATCCTGCGTTTACTTCAAGCGTCAAATAGACCACAAAGCTTGGTTGAATGTGTGTGTCTATTGTGTGCATTTTAACCTGTAGGGGAGGAGTGAGAGTTTGAGGTACGCAGGTTTCCTTAAACACCGAACTTCAAACTCATCTATGCCTCATAGTTCGTTCATTCTTGAAGTAAACTTGTGTCCGTTTGGTGATTAAATAAACTGTTTTAAAATGGCATGTAAAAAGCTTCAAGCATGTGCAACCTAAACAAATGATTCCTAAAAAAAAACACTAATTTGTGATCACATATGATTGGATATACAAGCATGCTGGTGGAACTCACTGCATCTGCATCTAGGTCAAAATTTTCTCCGTTGCTATCACCACCATCCCACCTTTGAAGGACCTTCTCTCTGTGGTCACCATTTATTCTTGAACCAATTGCAGAGTCTGTAAAAGTGTCTGAAAACATGCACACAAAGCCTTACATCAGTGTTAATTTTGACAGGCATTTTTTATTTAGTCTTTATCTTGAGACGAAAATGCTTAATAGTCTTAGCCACATTTTAGTCATTTGAGTCTTTTTTAGTCAACGAAAAGTCATTGCATTTTTGTCAACTTTTAGTCATTACTTTTAGTCAAACTGCAGTTACCAAGTTTTTTTTTACTGGCCTTTTCGGTGCCGCCTTTGCGCTTTCTATTATGCATTTTTTTATCTATAATGTTTTGCTCGCATATCTCCAACAATTACTTTTTTATTTTTTGAGCAAGGTTCCGCTGTCAGGGGAGTCAAAAGATAATTACGTCATCATTGCCAATTAACATAAGAAATGGAAAATAAGGGACAATTGTGATTCTTTATCTTATTCTTTAAGAAAATTGTGTTTATTCTTGTAGAAAATAAGTGTTTATTCTTTAAGAAAATAAGGGACAGAATAAGGAACGTTCCAAATATTTGTACTGTACCATAATGTAGGCCTAAGTCTGCCTGCAGTTAAAAAGTTCTCAGAAATAATCACAATTGTTTTGCTTAACCCGTTTATGTACAATTATTCTAAAAATTATTTTAAATGTCATACAAAAAATGTCATCGGCCTGAGTAAATTGTACCATTATAGAATTGTGAGTTTACACGTGTAATCGAGGTGAAAATACTGTGAAATTACAAAAGGCATGAAATTTGAAAATGTAACAACTGAAGGTCTATGAAACGTCAGTCAATAAAGCATTTTTTTTTTAAAACAATGGCACTTTTGAATCAAGGATTGAATTTGGAAAAACTTGAATAAATGACAATTTTAATTTTTTGGTGAGCTATACCTTTAACAGTAGAGAAAAGGGAGCAACTTATAAAAATTATAGTTGTTCATATATAATATATATAATTTATAATTTTTTTAAAAATAAGCAGAAGACGACAATAAGACAAATATGAAAGAGATACAAATTAAACTCATTTTTCAGATACAGTAGGTTTACTTAACATTTATTTAACATCTTTTCTTGGTTAACATTAATGACACAGATAGGTACTTAATTAGGAATGCTGTCCCTTTAAGACGGAAGGCATGCATGTAATACGGACACCTGTTTACGTTCACTTGATCCACAACCGACTGTATTTACGTGAGATACTCTACACCAGGGGTAGGCAAGTTCGGTCCTAGAGAGCCGCAATCCTGCGGAGTTCAGCTCCAACCCTAATCAAACACACCTGAACAAGCTAATCAATGTCTTCAGGATTACTAAGGCTATAGGCAGGTGAGTTTTGTTTTCAGGGTTGGAGCTGAACTCTGCAGGACTGCGGCTCTCTAGGA